ATAAATATGAACCAGTTGTCAAGCATCCAAATGTAAATCTCGTGACCATGGAGATGCTGCAATGGTTGTTAAGTGTGAAAAATGGTCATAAGTCACTTTTTTCAGTGCCATTGTAACTTTAAATGGTCACTGAATGAACTGTTGTAAGTCAAGGACTATCTGTACATACTTGCCCTAAAACTCAAAAAGAACAATACAAACAATGCAGTGAAACTTGGATAAAGGTGGATAAAGGATTGAAGCAATGTACCTAAAAAATTCTTCACACTTCTCCTGGACCAACATAAATTTTGGGCTCAATTGTGGTCATAAGTTTGAGGACTACCTGTATTGGATTTGCAAGGTTAGCCCAATTCAATTACAATCTATGCTCTTTGAAAAAACTGGAAAGGGAAAGATGGCACATTTTATATTAAAAAAAAAACAGCAACCCTCCAACCTTTATGTTTTTGGGAAAGAAGTATGTTTGAGTTAGACTACTTCTCCATCCAATTCATTTTACTCAATTTAAATATTATAGTGGTAACTGAGAAAAATATGGCAGACCCACAGAAAACATTTCGTGGCTGTTCTTGTAATGTTTTGCCATTTCTTTTCTTTTAGGCTTTCCCTAGACGTAGTCTCTGGCCCACTGGTTGGCAGAGATCTTTGGTCTTGAAGTGAGAACTGTACCAATGGACAGTATGTCTATTACCAACACGCCAACCAGTAATGATGCTTGCCTGAGCATTGTTCACAGTTTGATGTGCCATCGACAAGGAGGGGAGAGTGAAACATTTGCAAAGAGGGCTATTGAAAGCTTAGTTAAAAAACTCAAGGAGAAAAAAGATGAACTGGATTCCTTGATCACAGCCATAACCACAAATGGAGCTCATCCTAGCAAATGTGTTACCATTCAGAGAACGCTGGATGGAAGGCTTCAGGTTAGTAGAAGCATATCTAGTGCTGTGATGTTCTTTATTTTATGTAGTGACAAAGAAAGAATGGAAAATCGCCATGCTTGCCTATAACCTGTGGAAATGGTGCTTACAGATGAATGTTTTTGTAGTGTTCAGTAGGGTGTAAAATATTTCCTTCATTTCTTGGATGATTTTCCTCTGATTTTCCAGTGAATTTTCCCCATGATTTCCAATCTTTTTAGGTGGCTGGTCGAAAGGGCTTTCCGCATGTAATTTATGCACGGTTATGGAGGTGGCCTGATCTTCACAAAAATGAACTCAAACATGTCAAATATTGCCAGTATGCATTTGACTTGAAATGTGACAGCGTCTGCGTGAATCCATATCATTATGAGCGTGTTGTATCACCTGGCATTGGTAAGTTTGTTCATAAATCCATGCAAATTGTTGGATTTAAATTAGAAATTGGGTTAGCTTTAATAACAGATTCCTGACTCCCCTATTTTCTGAGTCATCTGTTTTGATTTCTACCTTGCAAGGCAGTAGATTCCAGACTGCTGGAAAAGATTCTTGTGGTTGGTCAAGGGATCTTTCAACATTGTATTTTTCTCCCTATTCTCTTTGGTTGTAGGGAAGATATACTAGGAACAGTGACAACCAGAAACAAGGTTGCAGTGCTTAAGTGCAATGTTAGTCATTCCAGCAGGGTTTTTTATTTTTATTTCAAAGAAAGAAACTTAAAACTCCCGGGAGATATCCTGGAGAGAACAGCTGTCATTTAAAATATTCCAGATTCTTTCCTGCCACTATAGTGAGGAATTAGTCAAATTTCTCCAAATGATTTCTTCTGCAAGAAATGTTCTCCCGGAGCTCCATAGAGACATGGTCCCTTCTGGCCTTGGATCCTCCAGTGATTTTGAATTCTTTGCTTACCCTTCCTTTTCTTTGCATTGCAGCATTCAAGAGACCTTTTGTTTCATAGTTGTGGGTTTTAATGTTACATCCTACTGCTGTTGAGGGTCAAGGCAGGTTTTGTGACAATTGAGCCGTCTTTTGCAGCCTTTAGGCTAAATAGCCTTGAAAAGCTAGAAAGATGGTTGGATTCAAAGTGTACTTGGATGGAAGAAATCCTTGAGGGCTACATTGAGAAATCAAAACACATTCTGGAAAACAAAAAGCAGTGGCAAATAGTTTAGCGTTAATACTAAGAAAGCCACATACTGGCCCATATAATTTCAGGAGTGAACTCGGTTCAAGGTAGATTTACAATTAGCTCAGATTTCCTCACAGATTTCATGGTACTTTGTGGAAGACTCTTGAAACAGTATTGCCTCATGGACTGTATTTTGAATGTGGTGGATGGATCTTTAATCATTCCTTAAAGGTCTAAAGGGATTAGAAAAAAGTCTGACAATAAATGTTTCCCTTGATGGAAAGGAAGAATTAATTGGTCCCTTGTTCAGCTTTGAAAGCTGTTGGTTTTTTTTTTTTTTTAAAGTATTATTGTTATCAAACAAGAAAGAAATATTGCATTTCTGAAATATTATGGGATTATATTCCAGAAATGATAGGATAGAAAGACAGCTTCCAATTTGATATAAACTTTTGTCAAGTAGAGAATTTAAGAACATAATTTAATAATACTTTATATGCATATTTATTTAACTGGCCACCTATTTCAAAAGAATGACTAGGTGGTATATAGGGATCAGAACAAGAAATACAGCATAGAATTCCCACAAAGATAATGCAGTAACCTTAGTCACAAAAATCACATCATCAGTAGCAGCAGAACTCACCTAATCTGACTGAAACAACTCATGAAACAACCAGGTCTTGGGGCCTTATAAAAGGTCTATTGTCACAGTTTTTTTTTTACATAAATCCAGGCTAGTGGGCTCCAAAATCCTAGAGAGCGAACAGAAACCTCTTCCCAACCTGGCCTATAGGAAACACACCTAAAGGACTCACTATTTGCTATGCCTCTCTTCCCAGATTCTGCTGCAGCTCCTGTTCCTCTACTACTACTCTTTGCAAGCCCTACTTCTGGAAAACAGTAATTCTTCTACTTGCCTTAAGCTGCTTCAGGCTGTTTTAGTTTCACAAATAAACACAAACCATCTTCACATTCACTCCCAACAGCACAACTCCAACATTACCATACCCAGCTGCTTCTCTGCTCAGCTTTTACAGTTGCTGGACTGGCTAAGCCAGGGAGAGATCTTAAAGGGATAGGGCACCAACGTCCCAGTGCTGGTCATTTTTCAGGCAGCCTATCCTCTGATGCATATCTACATATTTCTGTTCATTTTTTGTTTAAACATTTGGATGGTAAAAATGTTTATTCACTAGTATTTAAAACTGGTCTAATCACTGTATATTTTCTCTTTAAAGATCTTTCAGGATTGACTCTGCAAAGTTCTGGTAAGCTATACATAACATTTTCTGCATTATAAACAACATGGAATCTTAAATTCAAAGCTTCATAAACATTGGGAAAACTATTTTTCTGCAGTAGAAAGAATGGCGAATTCTGTATTATGCAGTTACATGAGTCACAAGGAAGTGTTCTGTCATTATATGAATGCGGAGAAAGAGAAAATATGATGTTATGGTTGTTATTCTTGTTTGTGTTCTTAAAGGAATAAAGAAAAATTGCCAATTATTGCTTGAGACCTTTAACTGGTTACTCATTGTATGTGACTAACATTGCCCCCTGATGGATTTAGTCAATAAAAAGACTCTTTACCAAGAACTAAAAGAAGTAGTTTAGCAATCTAAATGAGATACTGTATGTATCTGAACTCATAAATTTCTAATTTCTGGGTGTCCACTAATGCATTGGGTTAGATACACTTAAACCTGGAATAAATCCATTGAATAAGTCTGATCCATCTTACTGTGATTTACTTGGCTAGTTAATTGATCTTAGCTGCTTTCTACGTGCAGTTTCTTGTACACATATTGATTTTGGATTTATTATATTTCCAAACTGGGATAAAATCCCAACTGGGTTTTATTTTGTCCTCAGATTGAATGAAATCCATTCCCATTGACTACATTGAAAAAAGTCCCCTGTATGCTAAATGACTAGGTTTGTGTGGGGAGGATGCTGGCTCTGGGTTTATATGCATAAGAGTCAGTTGGATATGACTGCTAATGGAATCGATTTTTGCTGATGTATAAGAGCTTTCAGCTTCTCCCATGCACCCTCAGTATCTCCTTGGGGGAAAGGGGGGAGGAAGAGGAGAGAGACCATTTCTGCTCATTGAGTGTTGAATTTCAACATGTATCTGTAGCAACAACGGGAAGAGTTCTGTGCCCTTCACAGGTTGCTTTTGTCGTCTTGCCAATTATTGTCTGCATTTCCTACAGAAACCGTGGAACTTGTTTGTATCATTTTGATATCATGGGCACCTCTCTTGGTTGGGGATGTTCTTTTTTATGATTATCTTTTTCCCATTGTTCTGATTTACATATTTTTGTTTTTCTATACTGATGTAGGACTTTGCCTAAAGTTCTTTGTAATTGGGGAAGATAAAGTTAGTTGTAAATAAATAGTTGTCAAGTATAATCTGTAGAATCCAGAATAATTTAAATGTCCAAAAATTCCAGGGAGATGCTAGAGATTCTTGACATAAACACCCAAGAGCTTGGATGAGAGGAGGACTATTTTGATTCATTGCAGTGGACTTTAATATGCATAAATAAGAAATAATGATTTTTTTTCTTTCAAAAAGGATATCACCATCACTTGGAACTTTTGTATCTTAAGCTTAATTGTGCATCCTGACAGCATTGTTCCATTTTATTCTGAATATCTCAAATTATGATTATTTCTGGTACTTTTAGGATCAGCCTTCTCTTTTCATTAGAACTTTCTCAAATCCATTTATTCCAGCTATGCTTCTTTGTCATTTCAAGTAATCCTTCTCTATCTGTGGTGTCAAGTGAAAATAGCTTTTCTTCCTTCTGTGTGTTTTACAGCAGTCTTTTGTGTATTTTTCTCCTTAATCTTTTACATTTGTCTTTTATCACAGCACCTGCCATGTTAGTAAAAGATGAGTATGTACATGATTTTGAAGGGCAGCCGTCACTGTCATCTGCTGAAGGCCATTCAGTTCAGACGATTCAGCATCCCCCGAGTAACAGAGCACCCACTGAATCCTATAGTACTCCAGCTATGTTAGCGCCTTCTGAGCCTAGTTCTGCCAGCACTACAAATTTTCCCAACATTCCTGTTCCTTCCACAAGTAAGATGATTATGCTGACCACCATTTGAAAATGCATGTTGTCCATCCCACTTTGTTTTAGAAACCCTGGCTGTGATTAATCAGGCCATTAATATAAATGGATTACTAAATGAATCGAGAAACCATGGAATCCTGTTTGATAATTATATTGTATAGTATAATTATATGTAATTAATTAAATATCATTGTAATTTGGTTAGATTGATGTGTTTATTCTCATTGTATTCCTTTGTCATTGTTTACTTTATTGTTCTGTTATTTTACTTCTGTTTACACACGTTTTCATTTTCTTTCCTTTTTATTATTGTAAACTGCCTAGAGTAGCATCCACAGTGAGATAGGCAGCTAATAAATTTAACAAATAAATAAATTGCCATTAACTTAATGGTTAAAAATAATGATTGTTACTTGATCCCTTTTATGGAGGTAGAGCTGTAATCCAGATTCCTTCCTTTCTTGCTTCCTTGCTTTTTTTTTTATTTCTTTCATTTATGTGCTGTTTCAGTCTGCTGTGTCTTGGCACCTTATAGTTCTACATTATATCAAACAACATGGGTAGAGAGGTGGATGGGTATTCATACACATGTATATTGTATCTCTCATTGGGTGCAAATTCTAACCTCCAGATTTTAGCTTCCAGATTAGAAAGCATGTTTAGTTCTCAGAGTCAGAAAGAGAACTGTGGAAAACTGGGTATTTGTACATTATGTTAAGAAAGAAAAATTAGAAAATAGATCAGTGTTAAGGGAGATGCATAGTAATTAGATAAATAGTGCCTTTTTCATCTTTTTAAAAGCGTTTTACAGTATCTCCTACTTTGCATAATTCTAAAAGACTCCTTGCTGTTAAATTCACAGCCCATGGGCCAGATGTGTCACGTGTTGGCCACGCCCACACCCAGTTTAAGTGAAGAGGGAAAGTCGCAATATGTCATATGACGCTGCCGTTATGACGCAAGTTTGACACCCCTATTTAGATCAAGAAAATAACTCCATGCTTTTACAAGTTTGGACCCCAGTGCCAAGCACTGCTTTTTATGACTTTAGGCCGAGGTCTAAGTAGACGAAACAAACAGGGAGCAATCAAGATCTTACTTTGGATGCCAAATAAGCACTCTTAAGTAATACAGGAAGATTGTGCTGGTGGCTTCTGTCCTGCCTTTTTGGTAGAGTGGTATTCTTTGCCCTTGCATCAAATTATTCACATTTATTACTTAGAATTAAGCAGCTATATTAATATGTGGAAAGGTGTTTTATTGGTGGTTTTGTTACTGTAATCATATTAACGGCAGAAACCTCAGGCTTCTAACAGAGTAGTCATTCATTTTTTTTAAAGCAATTGTGAACTGTTTTACATTTTGCCAGGCCAACCCACCAGTATGTTGGCAGGTAGCCACAGTGATGGACTCTTACAGATTCCTTCAGGGCCTCAGCCAGGGGCACAGCAGAATGGCTTTACAGCTCAGCCAGCTACTTACCACCACAGTAAGTGAACTGTTTACATTCCATCCCAGGGTTTAGTTTAGTTTGCATTCTTTTCCTTGAAAAGAGATGAGAAATAAAGGCGGATTTTCTGTATCTTTTAAAGACAGTACAACAACTTGGACTGGTAGCCGTACCGCAGCCTACACGCCTACTATCCCCCACCATCAAAATGGACACCTTCAACATCATCCACCTATGCCTCACCCTGGACATTACTGTAAGCATGCACGTGTTATTGTATGCATGGCTTAATTGGTGTAATGAAATCATGATTTCCCGAGAGACAGCAAGAAGTAGCGCTGAAGTGAAAAAATGAAGAAGTATTTGGTCATCTATGAAGCTTTGTAACTTATCTCAGGCGAGTTAGTGGCTGGATAATGTATTGTATCATGCTGAGTCATAATGTGTTTTGGGTTAGGACCTAACTCTGAATTAGCCCATTTGTAGCTTACTGGGGAAAAAAGTGTAGCTAATTCATGACATATGTGAATTCAGCTACTGTCTTTTATATTAACAGGGTACAAATAGAGTCACTTGGCAAAAGGCACTTGGAACTTTTTAGACAAAGTCAGTTGGGATATATGTGAACTTTTTTTTTTTTTAAAAAAGAAGAAAATGTCGCCATCTTTTGTATCATTCTAGAACTCTTCAAGTAGAATTCTTCAACTCTCAGAATTCAATCTCTTCAATCCCCTATTATTCTGCTTGGGAACAAACAGAAGCTATGTAGAACTTTTATAAAATGGCCTAATTATTTGATTAATATACAAGTAGTCCTCAGCTTCTGACCACAATTGAGCTCCAAATTTATGTTGCTAAGTGAGCAATTTCT